AAAGACAACATTTTATATGACGCTAACGACTCTGAAAAACTGTTTTTGTTTCGATCTGATGTGAAGCCTTTCTATGTGTCTGTGAGATGTGTTCTGTTGAGCCATAGGTCTACTCCTATCTGTAGCAGTGTTTCCTAAATAACCTTCAGGCAAGACACTTCATTTTCTTTTATCTGCTTCTGTTTTGTTTGTTTGAGCTTGTTTCAGTTGGGGAAAGAGAGCACACGTTTTAAACGACTGTTTGCTTCTTCATTTTATGACATCACTAAAACACAAAGACTGTGCTGGCAGACGAAGCAGCCAGACACTCAAATGTGAAACAAGGAAAGTCGAGTACGGTTCATTTGAAGTGCAACAAGTTCCTCTTATTCCCCAAAACAATGTAAAATGCAAAAAACATATATATATATATATATATGTATATATATATATATATATATATATATTAGTATACCTGACTTTCCTTCTATATTGTCCCCATCTCCTTCTTTTTAACTGGACATGATTCATTATGGCAACAACGTCACAACAGTTGTTTTGCTGTGAGTCTGAGCTTTTCAGTTCTTTGGGGACAAGAGTTGTCGTGGCTGAAAATGACTGTTAAGTTTAATTGGCTTTGTTAATAGATTCATTTTGAGATTGAAATGCATAGGCCACCGTCCAAAATATTTGACTCTGGAATTTTCTGTCCCTTGTTTTCCCACCTGTTTTTCTCCAACACCTGACAGAAATGGCTCGGACAATAAAGCCAGACGTATATACCCATCAGCCAATACATAGTCAAAACTAGGCTGTCAAAAAAAATCTAAGTCTACTTGTACATGTTTGTCCCAATATGAAACTTAAGAACATGTCATGTATAATATTGCTCAGTGTAAACATGTTGTCATTATTTAGTTTGTCCAGCAATGTGTGCCTCCATTCGTTTTTCAATTTCTACATGTAAAATAAAGGGTTCATAAGGTGTAATAAAAATAGTTACAATAGTAATAATAACTTAGTTACAGTTGTGCTTTACGAGTATTCATTATATTAGGCTCGTAATACTTGTCACAAGGGTTGGCCCACTCCAGTGGCCACCACAAAATCCTAAACTATTGGCTATTTGCCTTGTCAGAGTTGTTGGGCCCTGTGTAAAAAAACTAAAAAAAAAGGATCCAAACGCTTTTTTCGACTCGCTGCCAGACGATTCTTTGGATTTCCATTTGGCATGTTTACTTGTGAATTGGTTGAAATTTCGTCTTTGAATATACGTCTTCTTTTTAAGTCCATAAAGAATCAAGCAAAGATGATTTAATGCTGCCAATGTGTTAATTTGTACGTGGGAATATAACATAATTTAGATACTTACATTTAGTGCCCGATCAATTAATCAGCCATATCAAGTGACTATCGGTTTCGGCTAATTTTATTGCAGATATGCACCGATATAGCAAGAGTTATTCACCATTCAAAAAGCATTTAATTTGAGTATCGATTACACTAGAAGTTATTTTTCACCAGCAGAGGGCGCTATATGGATTACAACAACCATCATCACTCTCCAGAGTGTCGAACGATGACACACGTACATGAAGAGTTACTTTCCAATTGAGTGACCACCTTGTCTTCCAATCCTTATACTGTATATCTTTGCCACAAGTGTTTGATAACTGCATTTGAGGGATTAACACAATAAATGTGTAAATCTTTATCTATTTCCACAGATCGAACATATTTCTAAGAACGATATCGGCCAATTTATCAAATTGTTTTTCTCCCCAATATCAATATCAGTATTGGCCCAAAAAACCCATATCAGTCAGGCCCTTCTTACATTATAGAAGTTACAGTGGAAATGAAGATAGAAATTGGTGTGTGTGCACTTCACACTTGAGGTTGTCCCTGCATAACTCAATGCCCCACATGGGCCATCCCACTCAAAAAGCCTGGCTGCTCCACTGTCCCTTGATTCCAGTAGTTGTTGTTGTTTATGATGGTGAGAACATTTTCAACAAGTTCCTTCTTTCTTAAGTTATTTTCTCCACTGCCTTCCATTTCTATACATAAACATAAATGCTCAGTGTTGGTCTTTGAGTCTGTTTGTGTTGTAACTGACTGTGGCTCCAGTAGAAAGCCACACAGACTTTCCTCTGTGGGATTGTGGGTGACAGAGCCAGAGTCAAAAGACTTATGAACAGAGCGGGCCTCTACTATCAAAGGAGCCACAAGGGAGCCAATTTAAAGGCCACATATTTTTCATAGAGCCATAGTAGGAGTCATCACAGTACTGTTCCAGGGTTTAGGGGCAGATATGAGAAGAAGGGCACAAGCAATCTCCAGAGTCCTTTTTCATGTCTGTTCTCTAGACTCTCTCCCCCCCCCCCCCCCTTTTTTTTTTTCCAATCGACAGCTTTTAAAATGTGTGTTTTCATTTTGTTTTTCAGTCTTGGGTTTAGACGTTAAGGGGTTTTTTAGAGATAAATGTTTTATATGAAAAAAATAACCAAATATATGATGTGTAGTTCTAGTTTAAATGTGATGTGTGTGATTTTTTTCTTGTTTTTCTATATATGATCTGGTATTGTATGTAATTATTTGAAAAACAGTTTAATTAATTGATAATTTGCCAAGTTCTGGACTTCTTCCTCTTTTCAGTTTTTTTCTGTATTTAACTTTCTCATTTATTCGAAATGTTCTCACATGCCACAGCTGCTTAATATGTAAGAGGCAGCAAATTTGTGCAATGCAAAGAAAATCAGTGAATGTACCACTGATGCATTTTGATTTATTGTCTCTACTTCAAATATATATCATACTGAACTGTTAATCCTCAGATTTGTATATACTAACATATACTTATACAATATAATTTGGGACACCTGTCATGTTTATACTTGTCTCTTCTTGTCTCCTTTTTCCTGCTTACAAAATAAGCTGAGCTGAGTTTTGAAACATGACTGATGATGCTGCTTCATCTTTCACCTCTTAACTTCTCTCTATCTCAGTCATTCTTCTCTCTTCGGGAGGTTAGAACAGACAAGGTGATTTCTAATGTGAAGGAAGAGAAAGAAGTCTTGGCCAAGATGTCCTTTATCGCTAATTCCAGTATCAGTTGGATACAACTGAAGAGCCACAAAGTTAGCCATAGCTCCTGGCGCCTATATTGTCATCAGACTTAAAGCCAATTGGCTTTAAGATTAAAGCCTACCAAGAGACTTTAAACGTTAGTCGAGTCTAGAGATAATCTGCAACAAGATTGTTTGGTCAAACTTTGTCAGTAGACGATAGCTAAAAGTTTTCAAGTTTTCTGTGAGACTGGTGCGTTGTCCGTCCTTTGTCTCTGAGCCCAATTATTGGTCAAAACTACTCAGACTATAAACAACAACCAGTACGCTTCCAACAGAATTATTTCCCTTGCCTACCAGTTGTTCAATTTATGGAGACAGGTTGCCAGAGATGGGTAAAATGGGGGAAGGGGGTTTTCAGGGTTGCAGTGTGGCAAGAACTTCTAAAGCCATTTACGTCTGCAGGAGGTGTTTGCCTCAAGTGATTAACGAACTTGTCAGCCCAGCTTAGCTCTCAGCTAGACTCTCCTCTACATCCACTAAAGACCCAGCCCTCTACACTCAAAACTTCTTTTCCCCTCATCTCGCCTTCCTTTCTTCTCCCTCAGAGGCTAAATTCTCACAGCGACCCTGATATGAAAATTTATCTGGGAGGGAGCCGAGTTGAGACAAGAGGATGCTGTTATTAGCTGTGATTGGCGACTCAGTGGTGTAGCAGGTTCTGTCTCTCTCCCTTTGTCTCTCTTTGGAGGGGCGGGACAGAACAACTACAAAGCTATGCTGAATTAAAGTCAGCTTCTTCTGTTCTCGCCTCTGAAGATTCAACCTCCCTCAGACACACACTCACTCTTGATTTTCGATTTTTGAAAGTAAACTTCATCCTTATATGAGCGTTTCCAGGTTGAGGGCATCTCACAAACATCTTGGCAATATTTAAGCAAAAGACGAATGGACCTTGCTGATAAAACTATCTTGCTCAGAAGGCAGCAGCTAGGCTAAGTCTACTGATCTTGCCAATAAAACGCTCTAGTAACTGAGTGACAAACCAACCTAGAAACTGACTGACTTCAGACTAGGCTTGCACTGGTTGGTCAAGTTGGTTGCTCGCTAATGCTCACTTATTTCCAGCCCCAGAAGCTAATGGCTAGCCTTGCCTGTAGCTTATTAAGTGGGTTGCAGTTCTTGGGATTCTATTTACCATCATTGGAAGCTGGTGTTCAGGATCCTTCTTGTTTGTTGACGCGGATAACTAGTCACCAGCTTTAAAAGTTCAAAAGTTTTATGCCCAGGCCAAGCAAGTAGCAAATCAAGTAGGTTGCTAGTTAGTATCTTGCTTGTATCAGAAGCTAATACAAGATCGGCCAGAAGACGAGGTGGCAAGCCATGGTGTTTCTTGCCTCAAATATAGCCAAACCAGTAGCCACTTCCTTGGTGTGCTTGCCTTAGTTACATGTGTTTGTATCAAATATACAGCAGAAGTCTACAGCAAAACCAATGGATGGCTGATTTAGTCCTGCTGCTGCTAGCCTCAGAAGCTAATGTCTCGCTAAAACTGTATAGCCAAGGAAGAAAGTTACAAGTTTGGTCATGTGAGTTTCTGCCTTGGTCAAATTAATATTCTGCTTTTTACTTCCCATTGATGGACTCTCAGTTACCAGCTCCAGTTTATCATTGGTAAGAAGAGCTGCTGGCTTTGACATGGATAATGCCTTCTGCTTACTTCAAATCATTTTGTCTCTTAACCAGAACTGAATAAAATATCAGCAACAAATCAGCCAAAATGTCTGAGTCAAAAATATGCTGTTTGTTAAAATTGGTAAAACATGCCCATTGTGATGTTATTATCTTTACCGTGCCATTATGTGTATTTCTGAACACTGTACAGGAGAAAATACAGCAATGTAGATGAATGTTTGATTCACACTGACGTGCTTGTTTTTTTCTTTTTTTTAGTAAATACAAGAAAGACTAGAGGGATGAGTACAGATGGACATCAACTTTAAAAAAAGAGAAGAACAACGTGGACACAGAAGGATGCTTAAAAAAACAACTATAACAACGAGCAGATTTGTAAAGGAGCCCGGCCTTCTATCAGGAATGAAACATAGGATCTGACGAATGGATGGACGATGTTTGTGGACCTGCTCTGAGTCGGGGCCTGAACCGTTGAGCCTGTAGTCCAGGGGAAGGGGAGCCTGCTGGCTCTGACCCCTGAAAAACAAGCCTTGCTGAGCGTAAGAGACCAATTAGAGAGGTCACCATAAAACATTTTATTTTTGTAAACTTTTTTAAGTTTATGATTTCCAAAAAGAGCAAACACTAATGTACCTATATACATATGATATATTATATGTGTGTAATATAGTAAGTATGTATACAAAAAAAAAAAGAAACTTGGGTATAAATGTTGTTTTTGCAATTTGGAAGACGGAGGTGAGGTATGGAGATACCAGCTTCCCCCCGTCTTCTGATTGCACCCCTCAACCTTTGCCCCTCTATGGTGCAGGGGTTTTGGGGTGGGTGTGGACTTGGTGTATGTATGTGTGTGCAGTGAGGGATGTTGGGGGGGGGGGGGGTAGCCGTTCCAGCAGACATGTCACTATGTGATTCTTAAGGAAACATGGTGTATTCTTTAGATAGACAAAAGCTTTTTCAGCCTGTCTTCCACTAACAAACTGCAGTAGTGTAGTTGTGTTTTGTTCGTTTTGTCTGCATTTTGTTGATTCCAAAAATTAAGCATAGAAATATTTAAGTGTCACTACATGGGTCTGTGCAAATGGAGATAAGAAAGAGGCCCAGCTGGAGCAGTAGGTCATGTCTGCTGGAGGCCTGGTGGCCCCTGACATCACGACCAAACATGTCATTGTAGTGTTGTGGTTAGAGGTGGCTGTGCTGTGTAGTAAACTGCTTTTGTACATCGTGTTGGGTGGGGGTAAGGGTGGGTTTAACAGGCAGTCTGAGAGGGGTTGTACAAATTAGAAACATGGGAGCTGTCTGCTTTCGGAGCGTCGCGCGAAACTCCTTCCATCCATCTTCCCTCGACTTCCACCACCAGGGAGGGAGACACGGTGGGATAGAGGGGAAAAAAAAGCCCCATGTGAAGTCTTTAAAAAGTGTCACAAAAGGTTTCCTAAGAGTCTCTTTAAAAACTTTCTATTTATATGGATCTCTACTTTAGTGACATCCTTCTATATTTAAACGTTGTACTAATTACATGCTGTCAGGCATGGTGGGAGAGTCCGTTGTAGCCATTTACTAATGTTGTATTTATTGTATTACCAGTAAGAAGAAAAAAACATTTATATATGAATATAGATATATCTATTTGTGATCTGCAACTCTTGGACATAAGTTTGCCTTTGATTTCCAACTTTCATGCAGGATTCAATGCACTGTCGATGTATGATGAGGTTTCTACTTGTGTGATGTTTAATTCCGTTGACATTCGTTTGGTTTCCTTTCGGTTCAGCTACTGAATGTAAAACTTTTTAGGTAGATGTTGTTGTTTTCTATATACTGAAAAAAAAAACAGTATTCTGTAAATTATATACATGTGTAAATGATATAGCAAAAATGTTTCTGATAATATGCTGGACTTCTATTATTCTTCTTCTTCTGCTGACCCAGACAGACGGTAATGCCATGGCCAGAAAAAAAGGGCAAGTAAGGGGGAATAAAGTAGAAGTAAAGATGGTAGGGGAAGCGTTTAAAGGGAACACCAGTGCCCTGCAGCCAGTGTGGGAGCCAGTTAGAGAGACAGAAATGTGTAATCATTACAGGATCAGTTGGAATTTTTCCGCAGCCAGGCTTTTCAAATTTGATAAGAACAAGGAAACAGGGAGCAGCCTGTCCATGTGTGCCAGAGAAAGACAAGATGGAGGAAGGAAAGATAAGAGGATTTTTTTTTTTTTTTTTTTTTTAAATATTGATTTTTCTTCCTCCGTCTCTTCTCTCTCTCTCTCTCTTTCGGTCTTTGTCCCACACCCCTCTTGGATCTTAGCGTTTTAACGGTGCTGTGGGTGAGTGCAATGTGGGGGGTGAAAAAGACGAGGAGGATGAAAAAAAGGGGGGAATACAAGGGATTGGATGCACTCTCCTTATAGGCACATGAGGAGAATGAAATAACGGAAACAACCAGTGGTTTCATCAAGATATTGACAGTACATTCTTAAGGGAACATGCTTTCATTTACATCTGTATATTTTTGCTAATGCAAGCCAGTTTGGCAGATCATTATGTTACATGTATTTCACTCTTTTTTTAAAAGCGCCGTCAAAATCTTCTGTCTAAGAACTGGCTCAAACAAGGATCTTTTTTTAAAGATATTTGGCGTCTTACAAAGCTTGCAAACTGTTTAGCTGCTGTCAGAGGTCAGTTTAAGTTACTCTAATACTTAAATACCTCTGGTATGTTGTGTTTCCATTATTTTGTCCGCCTCCTGTAGACTGATGTGAAGTGAATTATAAAAGTGGGGAAAGTTGAACATTCTTCTCCTCCTCGTCTTTTTCTCTGTCTCTCTCTTCTATATGTCAGTGAGGATTTCAAGATTTTTGGGGGGTTTTTTCGGTCAAAAAGTTCTGTAAAAGAATATGTTGATTCCTCCAGTGTGGCTCCATTGGGCTCCCTCACAGAGTGCGTGTAGCACAGTGGACAAAGTGACTGGTTCATAGAGTACCTGGCTGTGTCTCTGGATGGACTCCTCAAAGCTTCTTCAAAGACTACACGGGTGTGTGCGGGTTCATCTGGTGGAGTGACTGTTTTGAAAAAAAAAAGAAGAAGCCTGTCCACCACCATCCCAAAGCAGGCGAGTGCTGATCTGTGTAACTGGGATAAAATGACTCAGAAGAAAAAGAGACTGGGACTTTACAGAAAACAAACACACACACAAAAAAAAAAAAAAAACCTACTGAAAAACAACTAACGATGTCAATCTTAGCGGAGATCCAGGTATCCTCAGATCTCTGCTTCTCATTCTGAACTTTTCTGTTCTTCCTGCTGTTGGTTCAACAATTGTGTCCTGTTTACACGTACTGTAAATGCTGTCCATTCATTAGCAGTTGGAGAGATCAAAAACAAGGGTGCGAAGCAGCTTTCATTTTAGCGCTGGATTTCTCTGTGGCTCAGTACTGTAACCCTGAGAAATCTATCCTGTTCAAGCTAGCATGTCCTTCTCTGCCTTTAGCCCTTAGTCCCTCCATCCTTTTCCCCCTCCAGACCCCGCCCTCCGCCCTTTAGGAAAACATCTGCTCCACAGTGCACATACTATACAAACAATCCTTGAGCTTCCTACCAAAACCTGTATGGGTCTTCTGCAAAACTTTCCCTATATTTCAGTATAATGTGAATACCTCAGATGCAAGCCCTTAAGCAGCTATTATCCTCTGAAACCTCCTGGCAAACAGACCTCGCCACACCCCCCACTCCTCTCCAACAACCACGCCTACCTCCCCTTGCCCGCTGACCTCCACCTTTAAAGGCCACGGTATACTTTCTGCAGAGACACAGGCAGGTTTGCCTAAAGGACATGTACAAATTCTTACCATGAGAATTGTACAGAGCCCAGAAGGAAAAAAAAACAGATTTACAAAAAACTTGTATTTTTCCACTGAGGGCTCAGTGAAAGTAAATGAACTATACACAACTTAACAGTATGAACAAGTATTTTGTTCATGTAGGCCTATATATAAAACAACGTAAGAGCATTCTAGCTGGGATTGGCAAAGCTAAATTTGAGCATCATTCATTTAGCATTTCCAAAATACATCAATGTTAAAAAAAGAAGATGTATGAAGTTCAGCTCAAATATCATAAATACTGAAGCATCACCAGTCAAGTTAAAATCACAGTAAACAACATTTAAAGCTACTGCAGGTGTATTTTTTCATTGATTATAAAACAAACTGAAATTTATATAAATTTCTCTTTATGGAACTACAAAAGCAAACCAGACCATCAGTAACAAGATTGACTATTCCTATACACTTATTTTGAATGTGGGTAAACGCCAACAAGGTGGTAGGCGTCAGACAAACTGATAAACCCCAGGCTGCAGGTTTTCTCCACAGCAAAGATTTGCAGTGAGTGATACATTTGACTGTTAAAAGAAAGTAGGAGGAAAAACACATCCCATCAGAAGAGATAAGATACGTCTGTTTGTCTAGAGAGGGCGCCGAAATCGACACAATCCAAACGTTTCTCACAGTAGCTTTAAGTTTCAGAACATATGTCAGTTATGTGACATGCATTCATTTATCATGTCATTGCAAATCAATGTGCTTATCAACCCAAACCACAAGTTTGTCAAACATAACCGAGTAGTTCTGCTGCCTGAATTGACCAAACCTTGACCCTTACCCTCCTGTCTATTATTGATGAGACACATTTTTTGCCTGCTCTTCATCTTGTTGTGTTTCGTAAGGGTAACCAAAACATCTTAATTAAGAAAAGGAACATATCTCTCTATATATATATATTTGCACACAGATAATTAATCCCAGCACAGAGGACATCACCTTCCACCATGAATACCATGAAACCATAACTAGTTCAAAGCGTGTTATCGAGTCCCGCTACACTTTAAACTTTAATACCGCGAGTCAATATTCAAAGAAGTTCATAATAATACAGAAATAATGCTTTATCTTGTGACAAATTCTGCTCTTATTCAGGCTATTTCACGTTTGCTGTAAGTATACTGTTGCCTTCCCACACCTTCGTCACTCCCCTTCCCAACAACCACCCAGTCCTATGCAGATCCCCAAAGCACAAAGGTTTGAATGGTGACTAGAGAGTAAACTAGAAAGAAGACGATGAATTTCCTTCCATTCTGTTTCTATTTGTCCGTCTGTTTTATCTGTTTGAGGCTTCAATGTGCTTTTGTATTTCTTATGTACAGATCCTCCCTTTCTCTCTGTAAACAGCAGAATCTTGTATAACTGTATATTAGACCAACAAAAAAAAAATACTTTTCATGTGTGGCTGTGGCTTTACTTGACCTGTGCAATCCAGACAGTTTTCTGTTCTGCACCTGTACCTACTGGGTTTGGTTGTTTTTTTAGTTTTTTTTAATTTTGGTTTCTTTTTCCTGGTTTGATTTCTGTATGCTCCCAATGTGCTTCAAAGAAACAATACTATTTATAACAGATACTGGTACATTATTATCACAGTTATTATTACAGTTATTAATACCATGATTAATATGAATAAAAACATTTCTTTCCTCAGTAAGTTCCCTGTTAATGCAGTTAAAGTGATATCACGCATCATCTGCAGAAATAAATCTATTCATGCACACATAACAGAGTGATGGATTTTTAATAGTGTTTTTTTTTTCCCCTAAAGAAAACGAGCCTGAACGTATGCACAAGGTATTATTTTTGGATTGTTTTCAAATCTGTTTCAATCCTTCGACCAAAACATAACACAAATTAAATTGTAATTTACTATAATGAAATTTTAAGGCAGGGTTGATAATTTTCTCCAGATACTCTTTTTAAGATTTTGGATTAAATTGTCTTTAGGTCCTGACAGAAATTAATAACGAAATGTTGCCTCTATTCATTGTTGCTTGTCTTTTCTAATGGCCCGCTCCTGATTCTTTCCTCCCTCATTAGCTAAACATCATACTTTCAAGAAAACAATTGTATCTCTTTCAGTAAATAACCCTTTTTGGAGTTCTGGTTTGATTGAAAAGACTCCTCAATTAAAGTGAACGAGTGACCAGCGAAGGTTGGCAGCACGACTGGTGGGCTTGTCAGTAATTCAGAACTTTCACCGTAGGCTAAGATCTCAACTACCGTACTGTAGCTACAAGAAGTGAAAGATCCACAACGTGAAAACAGATGGGACTAAAAGAGCAACAGCTGCACAGAAACAGCACGTGATAGACGTTGCTGAGCGCAGAGGAAATCATCATACAGGTACAGTTTGAACCTTTTTTCTCTCAGAGACCCCAAAAACAGAATTAATACCGCTTCCTTACTGTAGGTGTTTGTGGTGTCTCCCAGCATGCTCTTTGATACACAGATAAATAGCTCCTTCTAGTGGTATGCTGACTCTTTTCTTCACCTTCTTTGGATGAGTTAACAGCTACCAAATGTTTGGGGTCCACATCAACTTCAGCTTCAACACCATTATTTAAACATTGCTTCAAATGAGCCCCTTAATTAAGCCCCTCTTTGTAAATACGTGAACTTTTAGGAGTATCAGGCCGACCAAACAAACTCAGAATACACTGCAGGCCTATGGATGTTCGAGGACCAATGCTTTGATCAGTTCAACCACACAGCTGCTGGAAAAGAGCTGAACTTCTGCGTCAGTCTGTAAAAGCCAGTGTCTGTAAACGGTGGATCGCTGATGTGGAGACAGCAGAAAGGATGCAGAGACTTTACAAAGGAGGTAAGGGAACTTAAATTTAAGAAGATATTGTTTTTATTGTCTTGTTAAGATACAAAAGGTGCCAATTATCATCTCTCAGACACACATGGAAGCAACTCTTTTATTCATATCTAACAAGTGGTTTCATGTAGGCAAAGAAATATGTGGTTAAAGCAACAAATAGAAACAAAAAGAGTCCGTTAAAAATGGACTCATTCATTTGTTACTTTTCCTCTCACTAGGACCTCCAACCCCTGTAACCTGGGTTCAAGTCTTGTATTGTTTGTCCAAACTACCTCCCTGACAACAGTTTCTCTGGGCGTCTACTGCAGTGCTATAGATTTGTTTATGATAAAGCTGCTGTAGGTGCATATGTGTACCCCTTTTTGCACAGGCACTGTAACAAAGCTAAGCCTACCCGCTTTGACTTTTACACATTACCAAACAACACATTATAATTGCTGTCCAGTGTAATTTAACTTGGCGTTACTGTGTTTTTGGAAGCAAAATCTGACCTTTTGATGACAGCCTATAACAGCCAATGAGAGCCTTTGGTAAAAGGATGTGCCTGCCCCATTGCCTGCGGTCACAAATAGTCTTCCAGGTGTTGAATATGAACTGGAAGAGAGCTCATGTGTCAGCATCATCAGCCGTGATTCTGGGGTCTGTTGGGGCAGAGTCAAAAATTCACAGAGGGCCCCTCCAGACAGCGTTCATCACCATGAACGTCGGTAGTTTTGTTAAACATAATCTCACAACAACAAAAACAATTTGGAATGTAAACATTTTTTTATTTCTAAAATTAAAATACTGTATTTATCTTCAAACTAAAGAAGAACAAAGGTCACTAAAAAAACCCGACCGATTAATCGGCCAGCTGATAATATCGTCCAATATTAGCTTATCAATTCACTTTTGGTATCGGCTAATTTTATAGCAAATATGCACTGACATTACTCGATTTATTGGCTAGTTAAATAGCATTTAATTTGAGTATCATTGATTTAAACTAAACAGCAAAGTGTGCTGTATTGATTAAAACAAGCGTTACAACTCAACACAATAAATGTTTATATCTATATCCATCTATCTCTACGTATCCAACATAGATCTAAGAACGGTATCGGCCGATATATCAGTATCAATGGCCCAAAAATCCCATATTGGTCGAACACCATAAGACACCCAGACAAAGACATCAACTTTTCAAAACAGGAGGTAAACCAGTGGATGTTGTTATGGCAGCTACATCTATTAAACTTGAAAACACCATTAAACTGTGTCTGCTTTTGAATCTCACTACTTGAAATCTGATGCCTGGTCTTTTCCCCTAGGCTTTGGCCATTTACGTTTCGACAATCAATACAACTTTTTCTCCCTGCAGAGCGACTCTGCTACCACAAATATTTGTAGAGCTCAAAGTCCCATCTGCATAATGACAGATGATTAAACCATGATGAAGGCTGACTCACTCACCGTCCCTTTTAGCCTTCATTTAATGATCTGATCAAAGGTGCAGTTTATGTACAGCACAGCCTGTGATAGTGTTCATCAGAGGCCAGGCTTAATGTGGCCTCCTATACACACATACACACACAGTGAATAGCTTAAACTCTACCAGCCTGGCGCTCTCAGCCTTACCAAGTACACCATAAATGCCAGAGGAAGAGAGAGAGGGATGATGGGACACTAATAGCCATTTGTCTTCCATCTCCTTAGGGAGACAAGACGGAGTGCTGTTGTCCGTCTCCTCCACATCATTTACCTAAACAAAACAAATGCCTCATCGATCCCACGTCCCACCTCACATCCCCCCTGTTCTCTTTACACCACAGTAACCAGGAAACACACAGCACACACGCTGCATTGACACACAGGAAGAGAGAAAAAAAACAGTCAGGCACACCTCATAGCATTGATCCTCCTCCGCTGCACTTCGTCAAACCCTTTCCATTGTGTACTAAACAATCTCCGCTGTCGCCACCGTCCAAGACAATAGATTTCGCTGTTTTAGCAGCTTTCTCTGTCCTCAGTGGGGCTTTGGTGGTCTCACCTCACAGGAAATGGAGGCAGGGACCACTCAGACCATCACAGAGTTACTGATTAGAGGTGTCTGTTCAGGTAATGGCCCTCTCCTGAAGGGGCAGACATGGAAAGTAATACTCTTATAACTCTGTTTACTATTTTCACCTTAAATGTTTACAGGATATGCTACTCGGATGTTTATGGACATGATCTCCCTCCACACCCAGAAACAGCTGATTCTAGGCTGGTCACACCAGCCTCATATTGGAAATCCTCATCAATCCAGCATGGCAAAAAAAAAAAATCATTCTCAAAGGCTGGAAATAAGAGACATCCCTCAGCTATGGAGCCTGGCTTAAGGAGTTCTCCAGTACCTCATATCTGGACAAATTCCGATATGAGAATCTAGGGGAAACGATACGACTACCCTTCCTTCACTATGTCACAGCTCTGAGAGGACAGACATGACACCTCAATTCCTTTCAATTTGAGTTAAATAAACTCCTCCAAAAATGTTTGGAAACGTTTTGTTCGGTCACTTATTTGTTTTATCGGTCACTTATTTCGCCCCTTTAATAATGTAGCGTAGCGTTAATTCAGGCAGGCCACGGAGTCACGCTCTGTTATCATGACAGAATTTCAGTAAGAGCTGATCTCACGCAGCCGCATCAGCTGATGGCCGGCTGATTCGCTTCGAAGCATCTTATTGGCCAAATAGTACATATGCCGCCTTATTTAAACTGCTCTAGCCTGCCTACTTTTGCTGCTCCCTCTGCAAGCTGCATTTTCAATCCTCCTCCTCCCCACCTCCTCCTTTTCTGCTATTCTGACTTAATCAATGTTATGCTTGTCATTGATGCTTGCTCTGTGGAGTTTGCTGCTTATCTCCCTGCCTATAGCTTTCCGTATATGCACGGGAAGGGCAGGAATGTGTGCTGTTCTTGACTAATGCTTTCCAAGTAAACGCGTGCAGTAAACGGGCAGTGAGAGCCCTCACAGAGCTATATCGCCAAATATAAATAATTTCATCAAAGTATTCTTTTGACAAAGTGGTCCTGATTGAAATACTTATTGGTGCTTTATTATATGTTGTTGGAAAGCTTGATTAGTCACCTTCAAAACAATGTTTAACTTGTAAGGATTGTGCATTTGTGGAATGCCAAAGATCCCCTGCAATATTCACTCTCGTTTTGAGTTGCTAGGTGTATTGGGTGGATTGCACTCTTCCACAACAATACGGAAAAAACAACACATAGTGGCCATTTTTAAACTTTATTTATGTTATACTGTCAGGGACCTCAGTAGCATGTGGAAGATCCATACGCAGCCACAACAGCTTGGCACCTCCTCCTCATGCTGGTCACCAGCCTGGTCGCATTTTGCTGTGGGATCCCATTCCTTCAACGAGTTGTTGAAGGTCAACCACTACCAAGCTGATCCCACAAGTGCTGTCAATCAGGTGCCAGTCATACACCTGTAACTGGCACACACCTGGCAGCAATTGAAACTCAAAACAGGAGTTTAATACCAATACCAACCAGTTCTTTTCCCTGAGAGCTGGCCAATCAGAACGTAGGCAGAGGCTGAAATTATGTTTTTTAATTAAGGAGTTATTTGGAGCTGCAAATCATGCCTATTGGTTTCCAGCTGACGACATGAAAAGTGAAAATGAGTTTATATTTTTGAATGTTTTGTCGCTTCTGAAAAAGTTATACATAAAATGTATTTAAAAATATACAGGATATTTCATAATTTCGGCTGTAGTCTGCAAATACTCTTTCACATGCAAGGATGCAGACACACACTTACACACACACACATACACACACACACACACACACACACACGCACACACACACACACACACACACACAGCGCTGTGTTATTACTAACCACT